TTCAAAAAGAGTGATCGAATGAATGTTAAAAACTACCGTCCAATATAAATTCTGTCATGTTTTTCAAAGCCGTTTGCAAGTCTTGTGCATCCCATTCTTACCAAACATTTATTAACAACTTTCGAACTGGGGATAGTACGTACGTACTTTACGTGTATATAAAGTACTCGCCTTTACCTGTCTTATTAGTAAAGTGTGTTTAATTTCATTTTAGAAATGAAAAAAAAATCGATGTTGGAGTTTGAACTCACGACCACAGCGTCGCGCTCCACTGTTAGTCTGATTGCGCCACAATAGCAGTTCGTTGATTTGATGAAAATGTCTTACAGTTTAGAGGACAATTTTAAAGTTACCTTGGGTCTTGAAGATATATCAATGTTTGCGACAAAAATCTAAACATACACGCTGATCATTTATGGAAGACTGTTATAACTTTTTTAAATGCTTAACAATGTAGTAACACTATAACACTGATTCTATTTCACTCACTGTTTAATTACCACTGTACATACAAATGAAGTACTGATTTTTCAAGTTCCTGACGTTACGGGCGTGAACACGCGATATCTCCGTTCCTAATTAATTACATGAGGTGAAAACACTGACATGGCAAATTTATACTATAATTTACGTTTTTATTGAGCGTTTAATAACTTTTATCTATTTTATCTATTTAAAAATAAAATTTATACAGTGTACAAAGATTTGGCATGTTTACATGTCTAGTGGCGATACTTAATTGAACAGGCAATGGTAAATAAATTATTAAATTATAAATGTGTGGCCGAATTAGGAAAAGCGGAGATCTCCCGCCGGGAGGTGTTATGCCCGGGGAGCGGCCACACTCCGTGTGATAGTTCGGAGATGTTCTATATATGCTGTTTATGATTCGGAATGTTGATAGCGTGATTTAAGCTTCGGTGTGTTTCGCTTGCGGTGCGACGACAGCGCCGCCACATCACCCCCCTGCTCAGACCGGAGGTCGATAGTGCAGTCCAATTGCCGGTGTGTCCTTTTTAATGCTATAATGTATGGGGAATGCATGCTGTGTGCGTAAGGGCAAGTGACACCGGTGCGAATGATACGCCGATGTGTGTAATGCATGCCGTACTACGCACTGGCAAGTGATGCCGGTGAGAACGATGTGCCGGAGCAAGTGCCAGAAGTCTGCCTTATAAATCTGCGGTGAGTCGAGATGAAGACAAGTTGGACTGGCTTGCAGGAACTGAAGACTGCAGAAGACGATTCTCAGTAGTGACTGGTAGGGGTTCTTGAGGATATTGACGAAGGCTTGAAAGTTGTAGTTTCCGAAGGTTGTTGGTTGCGTGTTCAGATCACGTCGGGTGGTCACCACTGTGGCCGAATTAGGAAAAGCGGAGATCTCCCGCCGGGCGGTGTTATGCCCGGGGAGCGGCCACACTCCGTGTGATAGTTCGGAGATGTTCTATATATGCTGTTTATGATTCGGAATGTTGATAGCGTGATTTAAGCTTCGGTGTGTTTCGCTTGCGGCGCGACGACAGCGCCGCCACAAATGTATTCGTGGCATAGTCATGTAGCAGGTATCTTATAGTTGTAGCACGAATGGGTTGGCTAGATCGGAGATGGACTGCGCTCCCGCGGAATACCAGCGTAAATCAGCATAATACTGCTGTGTTTCGTGTGGGGAGTGAAGAGAACCGGAGAAACCTTTTACTGAAAACGAGGCATTACATCTTAGTCTTAAGCGATGACACTGCATCTGTATTTTGATTCTTAACTAAGGATAGATGGAGATGTCTATGGACTACAGCGTCCATATACCATCAGGTGGACTGTGCTCGTTTGTCACCCTCATTATATAAAAAAATAAGCTAAGTAGAGCGATGTCTAACTCTATTTTTGCACAGGTGTAGATTGCTAGGGAAACTACTAATAAAACTGACTATATGTGAGAGGAAAAAAAATCCATGTTGGATAAATATATGAGCACACATTTCATTTGATAGCAGGAAGATGCTGTTGGCTATACACTAACAGATATAATGCCACCACCTGATGCTAAGATGCAATGCCTTCATAGAAGAAAACAAGCTTAAAGGTTAAAACAGTAATTTAAAAAAGCCGACTGCGTAATTTTTTTATTGTTAAGAAAAAAGTGTCAGATGTCACGCTACTATGCTTTCTTTTAATACAATTTAATCTAGCATAAAAATGTATACATGTGTGAAATTGGCTCTTTACTAGCTTTTATTTAATATCAATTTTATTTTAGTTTATCTAAAAAACATTCCCTTTCTGTTTTTGTTTGCAATATATTAACATTTTATAGCCTGTCTTACTCCCACAATAAAGAAGAATCTAACAAAACTCATATGCTAAAAGACATCAACCTGTTTAGGCTAAAAGAGTGCCAAAGAAATAGACATACATACATACTCTCGAAAAACATTACCCTCCTTTTGGAACAATCGGGTAAAAAGGTCTCCGTTTATCTTCACTAACCTTACGAGATACTCTTTTATTCCACCTCCCTTATAGTTCTTTCCTGCAGAGCTTAACGTTATTAATATCATAATAACAATGGCGTTTACATTAAATCATTAATTTAAATAGTGTCATTTATCAGATCGTTACATCTTGTTCACAAAATATATTAATGTGCGGCGATAAGGTTGAGCGGCGACACACGAAATTATCTGATGTTGATGGAAATCCATTTGTCGTCTTTCCGGGGTTTTATGAATTGAGTGAGTCAGCTCAGATAATGTACGATTTACGATATTTGAGTGTTATACATCCTACCCTATACTCGTAGAACGCTCCCCACTAGATTGAGTGATGATATGATATCTTTATTTTCTAGATGTTAGCGCTGTTAGTCTATGCGACTCTTACAGCTTCATATGACTCAGGACTCGCGGCCTGCAAGAGCCAGGAGAGCCAAGAGAGATGCAGGAAGTCCATGAATGCAGGTGGCTTAGTTTTGTTGCATTACTTGAGGAAAATGCATGGTCAGCTGGGGACTTGTTGCTTGCTATTATGACGATGATCGTGAAATTATATCTTAGTGTTTAAGGTACAGGATTCTACGTTGTAAGTCCTTGCTTTAAATTCTACCCGAAGCAAATCTTGTTATTAGGTTTGATATTTAAAAAAAAATAAGGGTAACAAAAGAGCATACACCTGTGAGTGCACCTGATGATAAGTGAATGTCCTCGAATAAGAATTATTAGGCTGCTATATTTCGCTTGTACTTTGTGCGACGAGATCACCCATTCGTAGCACGAATGGGTCGGCTCGTCCACCATAAAATACTATAAAATATCATGTATGCTGTATCATGGCTCTACCACGGTATATGATGATGATGGCGTTCAGTGTATAAGGTTCTACGTTGCGAGTCCTTGTTTGAAATCCTACCCGGAGCTAACATTATTGTTAAAACAGAAAACTTAAACTTCATTGTAATATAAACGGTACATTTGAAATGGGTAGGAGTTTGATCGTTACATATGGCCACTATTGCATACTTGTATTTTGGGCAACTGATAGCCTCCAAAAATTCGAATAAAACATAATTATTACTTTTCATACACCAACGCTATACGCATAGTGGTGGCGGAGGAGAACCCACATTTCATCATTATAGTAAATGGAGAGAGAGAAAGAGAAAGATAACCTAAGATACATTTTACAAGAGTTAAGGCATTTCACCTTAGTTCAAGGGGTACAACATATCGTATTTTGATTTTTAATCGAAAATAGATGTAGATGTCTGTGGGCCGCAGCATATACTCATGTGGATTGGGTTATCATTTCTCACTCTTATCCCTTAAAAACATGTCAGAAATATTTTATGGTTTACGATACGTGGGTTTCAGTTATCGTCGGGCGTTAAATAAAAATCAGACCAGCGTTCGGGCGGAGCGTGGTCGGTGGGACACGCGAGGCACTGCTGTCCTCATTCCACCTACTAAGCGCGGTGATTTTATAAAATCTTACCTAAAACATGAGAAGCTCCTCCCGGCGGTGGCTTCTACGGGCTGATGGAAAAATGAAGAAATAAAAATATTCCGCTTCCCTGAGCCCTTTCAAAAAGAAAAAATACAACATTCATTCGGGCTATTTGATATTCAATCCCTATGAAAATAGCCTTCTTCAAAGGTGAGTCGTAACTTTCCCAGGAGGGCCGAACTTATGCATGAAAATACCGAGCGGACTGATCAAGAGATCGGATTCAAATCAGCTATTTCCATTGACTGTTTACGCAAATATAACACTCAGTAATATCTCCAGCTCATAAAAAATGTATTCAAGATATTCCTGATAAAAGATTTTGCTTAAAGTTTTGATACGTTTTGATGTTTTGGTTTTAACTTTGTTTTGTACCTCTCGTGTAGCTTATAGCAATTTGTGTGTTAATTACGTAAATTTTAAAAGGATGAAGAAAGGAAGGAAGGAACATATTTATTTGCTAATAAGGAACATTAAGAAACGTTAAATTCGCACATAATATTAAAAAAAAATTAAGACTAAAATTCAACTTCAAAGAACTAAAAATAATAAAATAATTGCCACATAATAACTTCTGAAGCCCGTCATAACACATAGTCTATAGTTGCAAACACAAAACGTTGTGAAACAGAATAATTGGTATTTTTTTATTACTTATTATTAAGAGTAATAAAACCCAATTACAAACAGTGCCAACTATGAAAAATATAAGACGGGGGGGGGGGGAGTGTTTGAATGTTTTGGATGACGCAATAATTAACAATTTTGACTAAGTCTCAATTTGATGGATGGGGTTCATTTTGTTATTTAGATTTACTTTTATTTATGTTTTCATGTAAGTGGCGTATAAAATGTCTTTATGAGAATAAATGTCTTTAAACCTAAACCTAAACCTAAGTGTAGGTACGTACAAGTTTGTCGTCTACGTGTGCGCGCGCTTTATTATTTTTGCTTTGTTTCAATACTGCAATATTTTGTTTCAGAGTCCAGAATAAATATTTGAAATGCCTCGAAATTACCAAAGAAAAGCTCCCAATAGATATGTAGTAACAGATGAACAGCTAGAAGCTGGCAAATTGTTAATTGTTGAAGGTGCTACTAAACGCAAAGCTGCTTCACAAGTTGGTAAAGAGAATACTTTGAGAAAAAGTCTCAAACTTGGAAAGAAAGCGGAGAGTATGGGAAGATATTTTTCAACATTTACAAAGGCTCAGGAAGAAGAAATATACCAATACATAAAAACATCGTACTAGTCGTAGTCGTACTTATGCGGCGTACACTTACACCCACAACTGCGCACAGTTATCCTTTACTCATGTAAGTGTTCGCATTTTGATCTTTTGTATTCTTTAAGTTCAAAAAATTTGCTATTATAGCTGAATATTTTCATACCTAAATTGTTGATGAATAAATAATCTAACTAATAAATACTGTTTTGTTTCATTTAGATTATAATTTTTATTTCAGAGAGGTTTCAATGCTTCAAGTGCGCACACTTGACCCACATGACTTAAATATACAAAATCTGACTTCCACCAAGTTTAATGTTTTTATGAAAATGTTCAAGTTTGTATGAAAAGGGTTAAAATATTGAGGAATTTGCAGGTGGCTCGGGAGCGTACTTCGTGGCAATTTATACTTGTGATGAGCTGTAGTGAAATGAAACCTGGATTTGAATCTTGATTAATATTTTGTAACGACTTTAACTTTCCCAATTCAAATACTAATAAGCTAATTTAGATATTTTAATGGAATACTTGTGCCTGAATATGATAGCAGTGTTTTCACATAATGACAAAATAATTCGGCAGTGGACTTGTAAAGGGCTGTAATGATGATAATGATGATGAATTATTATAGTTGGTAATTTTAATTTTAGGTACTGGTTTAGTGTTATTACGTTAAAAGCTAAATACTTTTGGTTGCGCGGAAAACCGTTCGTATTTTTATTTTATTCGAAGGTATGCTTGCCAAGCTTGTCCTTTCTTCGACCTATCCCTTCCGTACACACCGGGGTGGTGGGAAAGAAGAGATTCTAGAATGTTGCGTGATTTGCAACCAATGAAAATAGCACCCGACTTCGGTGGGAAGGAAGCCGATATAAGTCCGCGCGCTGAGCTCGAGCGCTCTCTTGCCTTTGCGCCGCTAGTTGCAATCACACCGCCTGGGACAGTCGCGTCCTAGAGGGCTCTTGCCCACGCGCACCACTAGTTTCAAACCGCACCACCTGGAGCAGTCGAGCTCCAGAAGTAACCGCCTCACCTAGTGAGATATCGTCGCGCACCGCTCTCTTCCATCGCACCACCGACCAGGACCGCATCCCTGGGGCCCCAGGAGATCCGCCAGAAGTAGCACCGCAGCAACGGAAGCGTCCAAGCCGCATCGAAGTCACGCCCCGGTAAGTGCGCTTCTTTTCCTATGACGCCTGTTTGAGTATTTGTGTTTTGTTAATTAATCCGCCCCAATTTTTTTTCTCTTAATGTTCTCAAGCAGGATTCCTTCCCATAACCTTGGCAAGCAATAGGTTTTTTTTTCGGAAGAGCGAGTGCATTGTCAAGGAAAAGTGCCAAATCCGCCATCTTGTTTAGGCGTCATCCGCGTATACAGTCCATATAGTGTAAACATCTCGCGTAATAGGGTCAAGGCTCGACCGGGGAATCGGAACTCGGGAACCCTTAGGAAGCCGCCCAACCATTTTCTGGTCCTTCCGCCGGATTTGGACTGGTGCTTCATAGCCTCACCAACCATTCAATCATCGAATTGATAGATTAATTCCTTAGACAATGCACTCTAATTTAAAAATTGAATAGATTTAAATAGTGTCCGTTTAGTTTAAAATTAAATTTTGGTTAATTTTATTCGCAAATAGAATTATTCATTTAAATAGTGTTTGTTTAGTTTAAATTTAAAATTTATTAGTTACTCGCATAAGTAAATCGACTTATTTATTTAAAATAGTTTAGTTCCGCACGGCTTTATTCGGCCTACCCAACAATTGTAAAAAAAAATAGTGTGAGTTTAGCTTCTTATCTATCGACGCGCGTCGCCTCGTTTCGTTGCAAAGGTGTTCAATTTAACGACGTAATACGGCACGATAAGACAATAGTGTTGTGAGATATATGTAGTTGGATTACACTGTGTCCATCCTCCAGCGTTGTGCGATTAATTGTGATTAATCGAATATTAATTATAGTGATTTAAAATGGCAGTTAGTGGAAATGAAATTAAACTTAAAACTCTTTACGCCAAGAGGGACGTACTCTTTTCACGTATACAATATATAAGTGATCACATAAGGAATATTAACGTAGAAGCAGTGCGGAAGACGTTTTTATGTGAAATCGATGGACTCTTTGCGGATGGATTACGAAAAGATATTAGACCAAATTAATAATTTGGAATTACAAATCGATCCTAAGTATACAGTAAACTATCAGCCGCTTCTATCATTTGAAGATATTGTTACGCGCTAAAATCGCATCTAGTCTCGAACCAAAGAACTAAACTTCTTGAAGTTTAAAACTCGAACTCTCGGTACCTTGCGCGTGTTTACTTGAACATTCTGGATATTTTGCTAATTTATATAAGTAGGCGCTGCAAGATGCGATCGGGCAGAGAGTTGAACTCGGCAACACAAGCGAAGCTTCGGAGCGGAATTAAGTGAATTAGTGTGTTTAATTATTAGTGTTTTTAGTTTTAATTTGTGTAAAGTAAATTAAAGTGTTAATTTAGGTAATTTTATCGGCAATTTTTATTGTCACGAACCTCAAGCTCGTAACAATTGGTGTCAGAAGTGGGATGACCACACTTTTGGAAGACTGTCGCAGTGTTCTGTCCCCGAACGAATTGGTCAAGGCGAAGAAGTTGTTACTCGAGTACGCCGATGTATTCTCATCAAACGATGCTGACATAGGAAAGACTGGTTTAGTTCAACACAAAATAAACACAGGTGAAGAGTTGCCTATCCGTCAGCGGCCAAGACGATTGCCGGTAGCACGTGAAAAGGAAGTGGAAACCATGATTAAGGGAATGGTGAAGGATGGTGTTATTGAACCTTCATCTAGTCCATGGTGTTCACCCGTGGTACTGGTAAAGAAGAAGGATGGCAGCTTACGGTTTTGTGTTGACTATCGCCGTCTGAACGACGTTACTAAGAAGGATAGCTATCCCTTGCCAAGAATTGACGACACGCTGGATATGCTTACAGGAGTAAAGTGGTTTAGCACGCTGGACCTAAAAAAGTGGCTACTGGCAAGTTGAAATTGACCCTAAGGACAAGGAGAAAACTGCGTTCTCGACGGGAAAGGGTCTGTGGCAATTTAAAGTAATGCCGTTTGGGTTGTGCAATGCTCCAGCAACGTTTGAAAGGCTGATGGAACTTGTACTTACCGGGCTAATTGGCGATGTCTGTCTGGTCTACTTGGATGACATCATCATCGTGGGCCGTACGTTTGAGGAACACCTTCAAAACTTGGAACGCGTGCTCATGAAGATTAAGAGTGCCAACCTCAAGTTGAGTCCGAAGAAATGTTCACTATTCAAACGGCAAGTCAACTTTTTGGGGTATGTAGTGTCGGAAGAAGGTATCCGCACGGATCCGGAGAAAATCGCCGCTGTCAAGGATTGGCCGGTTCCAAAAGACAAGACGCAGGTTAGAGCATTTTTGGGTTTGTGCTCCTATTATCGGCGATTTGTGAAGAACTTTGCAGATATAGCCAAACCTCTGCACAAGCTAACCGAGGAGAAGCGATTTTTCTGCTGGGATGAAAGTTGCAATATCGCTTATGACATGCACAGCAGGAAGATCCTGCAATGGATGAAGGCCAGTGCTCCCAAGCACAAGTGGAGCGACGTCTCAGCGATGAGTTTGACCACTAAAAGCTATTGGGCCCAGTGGGAAAGCTTGCTGCTTCAGGATGGAGTTCTGTGCCGTAAATGGGAAAATGTTCGGGGAGACAGCTATCATTTGCAAATGGTCATACCATAATGATTGTTCAGGAGGTCATCTGGGAGTTAAACGGACTCTACTGAAGATCCGAGAACGGTTTTACTGGTGTCGCAAATGTACAAGTTGTACGTCTGTAAAGGGACCTCAGACTCGTAGTAGAGGTGCATTGAAGTTGTACAATGTTGGTGCACCATGGGAGAGAATAGCCATTGACGTGGCGGGGCCGTTTCCGGAGAGTGAAAGCGGTTACAGGTATTTCATGGTTGTGATGGATTACTTCACTAAGTGGCCAGAAGTCTTCGCCATTCCAAATCAAGAAGCTTCAACAGTTGCTGATAAGCTAGTTCATGAAGTCTTCTGTCGTTTTGGTGTACCTTTAGAGATTCACAGCGATCAAGGAAGGAATTTTGAGTCTCAAATAGTCCAGGAAACTTACCGAGTTATGGGTACTCATAAAACAAGAACGAATTCTTATCACCCGCAATCTGATGGAATGGTAGAACGATTTAATCAGACATTGGAGAGGTACCTAGCAAAAGTTGTAGACAATCGGCAAAGAGATTGGGACAAGCACATACAACCGTTTTTGTTGTCATATCGAAGCGCTGTTCACGAAAGTACAGCAGTGACACCAGCTTTCACAAACTTCGGAAGAGAATTACGGCTGCCTGCAGACCTGATCACCGGGATACCACCTGATGCTCCACGCAGTATAACCGATTATGCAAATGACTTGCGGAACAAAATAAATGACGTTTATGAGCACGTCAGACAATCGGGCCACCAAATGTCTGAAAAGATGAAAACCCGGTATGACCGCAAAATGAACAACAAAGGGTTCGACGAAGGTTCACCTGTGTGGTTGCACAATCCAGTCCGCAGCAAAGGGAAATCTCCTAAGCTTCAAGCTAAATGGGACGGCCCGTACCGGATTGTGACCAGGATCAACGATGTAACCTACCGGATACAGAAGGGCGCAAGAGGGACTCCTAAGATCGTCCATGTGTATCGCCTAGCGCGTTATTATGGGACCGATAATGCTCGGGACGAGCATGTCTTAGGAGGGGGCAGTGTTACGCGCTAAAATCGGCGCACTAGCGCCATCTAGTCTCGAACCAAAGAACTAAACTTCTTGAAGTTTAAAACTCGAACTCTCGGTACCTTGCGCGTGTTTACTTGAACATTCTGGATATTTTGCTAATTTATATAAGTAGGCGCTGCAAGATGCGATCGGGCAGAGAGTTGAACTCGGCGACACAAGCGAAGCTTCGGAGCGGAATTAAGTGAATTAGTGTGTTTAATTAT